GTAGCATTTTTTGAAATGTGTCGATTTATTGAATCACTTTCAACATACCATAGTCAATTTTAATATTGTTTATAATAAATTTATTATCATTTCAGTTCCCAGATTATTTCATTCCAATAGATATGTAGCCCGTATTTGGTCATCATCTTCATTCCATCAAGTCCTGATGGAAGTTCTTCAATTGAAAACAACTAGGACAATAAATGATTTGAAATTGGCCAAAATGTAATCCCATGCTTTTGAAAAAACAACCACCGAATATACTTGGTTAATAAACTTGGTGCACCGTGATAAAACCTTTAACAATGTATTAATCTCTCCAGCCATCATTAACACAGATTATTTTCCTCAATGCATAAAAAAAACCAATGCAACAGTTGAAGGCTAATCAGTCACTAGACCTGTTTAACTGATATCAACATGAATCGATGCTCCTGTTTCACGTAAATCCTAAAATTTGGATTTTGAAACTAGAATTTTTGAGTTGATGTTTCCCTTACCTGGAAATAATCTCAACAAAATCTCTTGTATCCCAAGCTCAATCGATCAAAATTCGTGCAATCCCATAATTTTAAAAATGTTTGACCAAGTACTTTTGTGTTTAATATTGAAAATAAAATCTCTCAACCTGCTGTCTCAGGATTTTATCAAATTCTTATACACTCAAATCATTTACTTAGCAAAATTTTAAAGGTAATGTATTTCCACACATCTTTACTGATTAAACATTACAATCATTGCAGTGTGGTTGGAACAGTATCCTGATGAAGCACCTATGGCTTGTTCTTCCACAACTCTTGTTCTTACTTACTAAGGGTAGTGGCTAGAATATCAAGATGATCTTTATTCACTGTTCGTCCTGTAGGTACCCAATTTAGAATTACATAGACATTGAGAAAAATAATCATGGCATTAAATTTTCTTCAATTGTGACTAGACTCTTCCAGTACATTGATTGGCACTTAGTTTATGAATTATAGGTAAAATACATTCCCACATATAATAACTCATTCCTACATTTTGGAATATTTCTTGATGTTTTTCAAGATCTCAGAAAAAATTTCTATTTGTGAGTCCACTTGTTTAGCTTTGAGAGGATTTTGGCACCGTTTTGGAAAATACTTTTCTCACATTGACATGTTCATATAATAATTGTACTAACTGATTATATATCGATTCCGACAGATATAGTATCTATTTGGATAATTAAAGTTTGAAACTTTTTTCCTCACTAGAACAAAAATGCTGTCTCTTGACGTGTGTTTCGCCTAGCAAGTTAGCAACATCAGGAGATGACTGAAACCTTGCCTAATAAGGGTCACTGAATGATTTGCTACTATTTTTTTATTGTCCTATTGTTAATTACTATCTGACTGATACCTAATCTCTATCTTATTTTCTTTCTGTAATTACATACGAGTGCATATAATAGGCTATTGGTAAAATAGCCTATTTTATATTCATAAAATTCATTCCACATTTTTCCATTCCTAAACTTTCAAAGGTATATAAAAAGTTGTTGTCAAGTACCGGTCTCACCAAATTCAAGCATTTCTCACTTATCAAACTATGCGGACTATAATAGCTCGCTACAAGAAATATTTCACATATTCGATTTTGCAGACTACAGAAGTCTAGTGTGGCTTGACACTGGTACATGACAAGTTTTAGATGCCTTCATAAATTTAGGAATCGAAAACTGGAATATGTTCTATGAAAGGTGGATGAAGTTCTCATTCCCAATAGCACTTTGTTACAGGTAGAAACTAAGGTACATATAAGGTATCAGTCAGGTAGTAAGTAACAATAGGACAATAACAAAATACTTAGAATTTATTAAATAACCTTCATTAAACAAGGTAATGATTTGTCTAGATGTGTATAAAAATATTAACATAGCTGGTAAGTAGTAGTTTTAGGCATTTCCTGATGATGCTAATTTGGATAATGAAACGAGCGTTGAAGAACATTATTTTTCTTATGGTCAGGGAAAAGTGGTTTCAATAGGTTATCTTGTTTGAAAAGAAAGAGGAAACAATCAAAATAAATACATTGGACTTTTTTAGGTGTATTAAATTTAAAAAGGCTATGATAATTTAATTACCAACTGCTGTTATCTCTGCAATGTCTAGACTTGAAATTAAATGGAGCAAACTACATTGAAACACTTTTGAAGTAGCATATAAGAGTTCTCTGGAAATTTTTGAAGTGTGTGTACAGTTTCCAAAAGACTTCTTTCAACAAACCTCAATTGGTATCTTTTATATTTGAATTTCATCTTGACAATTGACTTCAATTTTGTCATCAAAAGTTTGTTAGAAATGATTCCAGGTGGTTTTAAAATATGCGAGTGCTTGTTGTGGAAAAAAACATATATTTTGGATTGAAATGCTTACTGTGGATGTCTTACAGCCGGAACCTCTATACGCCCAAGTGAACATGGAAAAGAAAAGAAACCGTCAACCTAGCTTAGGAAATGCCAGTCTCAATCATTTGGCAGATGGGCAGACACAGCCACCTCTCACTAGTCTGCCTGCTGGGAAGGACTCCTGGGTCTAACCTCACGTACCCCCCTTGTTATATATCAATGTTCTGTCGCATGTTCAGATATATAATGCACTGATTCATATTAAATATGTAATATTTAGTTTGTGGTTTACTGTGATGAAGCTTCAAGTGAAATTGCCTGTACATATTGATTTGNGACGTGTATGATAATTATGAGTAGAACCATTCGTTTCAAAAGATGCAAGATTATTTCTTACATAAGTCACACATTTGTATATATATATGCATGGAACTGATAATATATTTTCCCTTACAAGAATAGGTTTGCAGCTATCACGATAATCCATATCAAAAATCAGTCTTATAATGCGCTTTTGGGCAACAAATATTCTATTAAGATCTCTACCACATTCCCATGACATATTTAAGAAACTATGCGGATATGCCATTGCAAAATATATACTTAAGAGATTTTTTTATCAACAACCAATTTCATCTACTTAATCGCGAAGAATGCTGCATTAAGTTTCTTACAAACCCCATCAATATGTAGATCCCAATTTAAATATTTATCTAACGTGGTTCCTAGAAATTTAACATCATGTGACATCGCTATTCCATCAGTAATATCAACTCCATCTGGAATGTTATTTTTTCTGTTATGAAATTTCATCAAAACAGATTTGGAGGTATTTAATATCAAGTGATTGCATTCACACCATGACGTAAATCTATCAATAACCTCTTTGACTCTTGTTATACATCTTCCAGTGTATTGACATCAACTTCGGAGTATATGTTATTGAGATAATCATAGGCAGCGGTTTCTATGGAACGATCCTTCCTAAATCCATGTTGATTATTACATAGTATATTATTTGACTCTAAATAATTCACTATTCTAGTGGCCACCACTTTTTCATACAGTTTCGAAAGAGAACAAAGTAATGAAATTTGTTAGTAGTTATTCAGGTCATTTCTATTTCCTTCTTTAAAAAGAGGAATGACTAAGGCTTTCTTGAACTCTTCTGGAATATGTTGTTGAGTTGAAGGGCATCGTGGATCATCTTCGTTCTTTTTGCTCTTCGAAATGTTTATACCATTCAAAAACATGGCATACATTCATCCCCATACACTGGTGGGAGAGAATAGGATTTAACGAAATTATCAACAATTTCACGTTGACATGTTCAATTAAAACGCCCACTATTTTTCTGTCGAGCGGTAGAAACATAATGCGATACGAACAAGTATTGTGGCTCAACTGAGTAAGCTAGTGTTGTCCAACCGGCTGGAATGTGGACTGGGAATATCTGGCGACTCGGCAAGATAGCGTTTTACCTCGGGGCTCGCACGGATTTTTTTCTCAAAGAAAAGCACGCCTCGCAATCCTTGAAAATATATTGGTACCTACAACCTTCATTACCAGAAAATAATAAACTAATTATGTATGCGAAACGTTTACAAAATGTACAAACTAATTTCAATCAGTTTTTATAGAAACGTATCAAATTACTTTATTGAATAGAATGCCAACAGGCATAAGCCCAAAACGACTTCTCAAAAGAATAAGATACAGTTCTTAGGTTAATCTTAAGCTAATCAACAATAGTTACATAAAGATACTTATGAAATCAAAACTATGCATAAGTCTACAAACTTGAAACTTTCAAAGCATGCATTAGTCATTTAATGATGATGAAACTTAACGATTCTATTGATAGTTGATAACAATGAAAGGAATAATTTAAGAGTATAAATCTATATCGCCTCCATAGATGGCGTCTTAGTTAGGAGAGACGTAGACCTTTCTTACTCAAGCTTGTTCTTCAAGAATGGTTAAGTTCAGCAACGCGTTTGTGGTTCAGCCTAGCATCACTGATACCTATGGCGGATCGAAACAGCGCTGTCCGGTGTTGAAACATAAATGCTTTGTGTTTGGGCTATGGTTTAACTGGTTCGTTTGCAGTGAAAGACAGAGGATGCAACTCGTCATCAGTCGATGTGTCGAAGCTTGGCTTTCCCACTGACCGCCTTGGAGAACCTCGTTTATCTTCGATATTCGAGAATTGGGTTCTCTGTCGATCCCACAGATGGCGTTTTCGTAAGAAGAGATGTCATCGACCTTTCTTACTCATGCTTGTCCTTGTATGACGGTTGAGTCCAGAAACGAACCACTGATGAGACCTATGACGGTCGAAACAGCACTATCTGGTATTGAATCATAAATGCGTTGTGTTTGGACTATGGTTTTTAAATACTTCGACGTTTAGCAACATGTTGATGCAAGACAAAATTGCAAATGAAAAATCAAGAACAAGATTTTAATTGTCAGTGTGCAGAAACAGGTATGTTCATTAACATATATACAAGAATAATTTCAACCGTAAAGAAGAGAGCTTGAACATCAACGAGACACGGATACCAGCACTTTATAACACACTCACTCTAATTGAAGAAGGGTCCGACCAATCAGGTACAAGAACAGTCGACACCTATTTCCATCATAAGTACAAAGGCACCAGGACCATTTTCAGTTTGCTTATCGCAGGAAGGTAGATCTCTTCCACCGTTGGTACATCGCCTTTGGTAACATCGGACGATACTGTCTTTATTCATTATACGGGAAGGTACATAGCAATAAAATCTGAGGAATGTTTGGACTCATCTTATTTTAGTCTCAATACAAAGGAATACATTCATATATCTTTCTATAAATTTCAGCTTACTATTTTTGTCAAGAGAAAATGTATTTGAGAGCTATTCTGGAGGAGTTTATAGGGGAGTACTATACGAAATGCTATTACATGAAAAATTAACTGATTCCTTAAGAAATGTCAATATTGCTTTGTGGGGTTGAGTCCAAAAGGTGGTATTTTGTAAATCAATTATGATTCAAACCCAGAGTTCAGTTTATAGACCATAATAGAAAAGAATTTCATTTGGTGCACAGGTTATTATTTTCTCTATATTGCTTACTGTGTATATTAGTCATAAGAGTAAGCTGTTATCTGTAGATAATGTTTCAATTATCCAATTTTGAGTTTTATTTGCTGTTAGATGTCATTTTCATGGCATCATGTCCATATTGATAAGGATTTTGTTTGTGCACATCTATTTTTTCAGAGTTGGCTACTCTGTATTTTTCTTCAGTGTCAGTTGTCACGAGTAGTTTGAAGTTTATATCCCTTTTTTGAGATTTATTTGTTGTTTTCATTTTCCATTAGTACTAAATGCCCAGAAAAGTACATTTGCTTAAAATTTTAATACAATTTATTTCTGAAATTAATCTCCTTTTCCACTTAACTATTGCATGTACACATAGAGGTGAAAATGATATAGCGAGGAAGATTAGAGATGGTTCAGCCAGTCTATCGTTAAAATTTATATAAAACTAGAGAGTTAGTGATGTTCAGTGATGGCATATGGAGAGAACGGGTTGAGCCAACCCTAATCTAACCAAGGAGGAATGTAGGGACATGCAAATAGTACATAACACAAAACGGCGTGAAAACATCCAACCTTGCCTAGGCTGGTGGACAATGGGTGTTGAATGGTCTTGTGGTGTCTGTGGTGTATTATAGTAGTGGTTGGGACTTGAGGAACCATAACCATGACGAACGTATCCGAGTGAAGGTGTCTTCCCGGGCCAGGTTGCTCTAGCTCAGCTCAGCCTCACAGGAATATCTGCAAACAGAACAGAACACTCATGACTAATGAAGTCGGTGGCCTGACGCGGGGAAGAGCTGAGTATTGAGCACACCACCGCCCGTGTTAGTACAGGTTAGGAAGGAAGAAGAGGCGTCCACCAGCCAAAGAGGCGAGGCGAGGGAGTTATTGCATAAAATACTCAGGATGGTCCGAGTCTTTCTCAAACCTCTTGGCCTCCTCTTGCATGCTCTCTTTTATTTTCAAAATAGCGGCTGATTCCGTTTGGTCCTGCAAGGAAAGCGACCTTTAGTGGGTAAGTGTCAGTCTACAAAGCACAGAGGTCCCACGGGAGAGTTATTACTAATTTGAAAGGATTTTTCTAAAGGTATACCACTAGTTTTGGACCAACTACATCAACCACATCATTCATTCATCACTTCGGAAACCATCGGACAGCCTCTTATTTTTATTAAAATTGCACCCGAATTAATTAAAATTACTCCTAGTTCTCAAGTTATTCTAATTTCCCGGTTATTTGAGCAACGTTGCCAATCCTTCCTTATCCTGTCTAGCACTTGAAAACTAGCTACATTTCAAGAAAATACATTCCATATTTGTTATGACTACCTCTATCATTCAAATTTTTCAAACATACTCTTCATTAACCCAGATAGATTAAAACCTTCTACAGTCACTAATTAGAAAAAAAAATTACCCCTTAGACTCAAGGTTAGCTGTGCCTACATAATGTAGCACATATTTGGATCAATCAAGAGTGAAAAATTTAGGTAGGGTATTAATTTTAGTGGGACCCCTGAAAGCGCAAGCACCAATCACCATTTTCTACTTACGTTTTCTCCAGGTCCTCCAAAGCCTATGTTGTAATCTCCCATTCCACTACCACTATCTTCTCTCGGTGTACCTGGTCCGCCATTAGCGGGAGAATTTTTCATTCCATCCATATCTCCATTTAATACTGGCCCCATGGAGTTGGGGCCCATAGGCCCCATCGCTCCGGATCCATCCGGCCCTCCACCCATTTGAAAGTCACCGGGCATATTGCCACCCACGGCTGGCTTCATTAGTGTGTACATATTCTCTCCTCCCGAATTACTCGAGTCTTGTGGGCTTGGCATAATAGGGGTACCTGGTCCTGCTGGTCCTGAAGAACCCGGCGGGCCTCCGTATGTACCAGGTGATGACGAAGAATAGTTCATAGGCTGTGAAAAAAAAGATGCCATCCAAAAAGTTTCTACAGAGTATTCACCATTAGCAAACCAAACATGAAAATATTTTTAGATTGTAAAGTAGTTGACGATGTTTATTGTTGAATGCGTGAAAAAGGTGTTACCAGATTTGAAATTAATGGAACAACAAATAAAAGGAAAATACATGACACATGGGTCAGTATCTGAATTACGAAATTTATTCTGTACTATTAAGTCCTTTGAGTTTTTTGAACGAATTTGACGATGGAGACATTTTGATGGTATGTGGTAACTTATAGAGTTCCTGAAAAACCTTTGAAAAGTTCATAGTGCTTTGATATGTTGTGCTGGTAATGAGAATATTATCTTTTCCATGTGTGTTATAGGTATTATTATCTTTATTGATCAATTCGTTTCAAGTCATCTAAGAATAAATCACAAGGTTTACATACTTTGTTAAAATCATGGGTTGGTTTCTGGGTTTTGCCGTGGTCTTTTTTGGTTTCAAGATTGTAATATTGATGCCAGCTGTGAAAGCCTACATTCCTATATTGTTAAAATTATTACACATTGTGATGATTGGTTATTTCATAAGGACATTGGTTCTTAGTCGGGAATAATAGAAAGTTGAATTATTTCTGCCTGCGAATTGCGGTACCTTGAAATTTAGTTGGCTTAGTAGAAGCACTAAACTCCAAGCTTTCAAAGTCGAATCTGTCCATCATCAACTGGTAATCTCTTCCCCGCTGTGGAATATACTGTAAACTTTAAAAGACAAATAATTGAGGAACTTTTTCTGCATGTTTTCGATCCTAATAATGTGTGAAGCATAGTGAGGACTCCATAGATTAGAACAATATTCTAACTTTAACCTAACATAAGAAAAATATAAGGTCTTCAAAGGAACAGTTTTAGTAAAATTTTCGCATATGTGCATCATAAAACCATACATTCTAGATGCCTCTGAAAGTTCAAGATCAATGTACCAAAGAAAACTCGGTTCAGAATCAAAGACGACCCAGAGATCTCTTATGGAAGTATCTCGTAAAAAGGCAGTTCCATTCAAATTATATGCAAATTAAAAAAATATATTTTCTGTATACGTTATAGTTTTACATTTAGTGATGTGGACCACATTGAGGTTATTTTAAAGTGCTCACAATCAGTTAAGTGCAATATTGGTAGATGAAGTTTCAAACCATCTGCAAATAGCAACGTTCTAGTATCTAAAATCATTAAATAATTCAACAACAATGAAAAAAGTAAAAGTCTTAGATTGGAGCCTTAAGGGACTCCAGAAGTTGAAACATGATTTGAAGAACTGGATGATATATCTGAATAAACCAAAACGGCCAAGCTTTTCCAATGAAATTTCATGACCTATCCTATCAAAAGCCTATCAAAAGCTTTGAGAAATCAACAAAGATTACATCTACTCGTATCTGACACCCTGAATCAAGAGTATTAATAATAATAATACTTTTATTGCAGAACGATCATCACAGACAGGACACAGCAAACGTCAGGTACAGGTTTAAAAAAGCAAGTTAAAAATGTATTTACAATGTCTATCAATCGGAGGGGGGGGATGAAAATATTTAAATATTGAGGTAGAGTACAAATCTTGAAATGTATTCCAATACAAAGACCAGAATTTAAGTAAACAGCTGAATTTAAAAATCTGAGAAGCACAATTGAAAGAGTATCTAAAACTAATACACAATATTACATCCAACAATTAAAAGAATAATAGCGTTTCTGCTTCAAGTAACTTATGACAGAACTCCTGAACCTCTTCAGGCCTTTGATATCTTTCACTACTTGAGGTAGTGAGGTGTATGCTTTGATTGCTTGGTAGTGTGTGCCTTTCTCATAAGGAGTTGATTTATGGTAAGGGACAGATAGCTCATTTCGATGTCTAGTGTGGAGGTTCATATTAGTAGAATATTGATAAGCATTTGTAGGAAACAGATGGGGATATTTCTATATAAAGTTGACAAGGCCCAGGAAATACAATGAAGGCACTGTCAAGATGTCTAGTTTAGAAAAGTATGTCCTACATGAAGTATTACGACTCAATCCTAGTATACATCTCATAATTTTCTTTTGTGTTATGAATATTCTTTGTGAGCTTGATGAAGAGCCCCAAAATATAATCCCATAGGAAATTATTGATTGAACATGAGCATAGTAATATGTTCGCAAACAGCTGACTGATACTTGGTCCCGTAGATATCGTATAACTCCACAGATGGAGTTCAGCCTACTATTCAAGATGTTCATGTGTGAATCCCAGCTGAGGGTTGGATCTAGTATAACGCCCAGGAATTTTATATGATCTGATATTGGAATCGATTTGCAGTTAAGTTTCACAAGTGAGGATGATTCAAAGTTATTTCTTTTACTGAATGTTATTAGTCCCGTTTTTCCAACATTCAACTTGAGCGTGTTTCCTTCACACCACATGCTCATGCTTTGTGCGACAGTTGAAGCTTTTGTTGAGAGCTCCTACATATTTCTTATAACAACCGATGTGTCATCAGCAAACTGATATATACTACCAAGTTTCAATGCATGAGACATATCATTCACATATAATAAGAGTAGGGGTCCAAGAATTGACCCTTGGGGCACCCCTTGCATGATATTAGCTTTGCTAGACAGGTATTCGTCCTGTTCATACATGATAGCAACAACTTGAAGAGTTCTTAATAACATCTCAAAATGTTCTTACAACATCTAGAGCTCTTTGTCATGATCACTGAATACTCACCGTTGACGTATTGGGTTGCCACTGAGGCCGTCCTCCAGGCCCTGTCATCGTCATAGGAGGCATTGGGCCACCAGGACCTAGGCTGCTATTTGGTGGTGGACCGCGTAGTCCAGGACCATAGTTTCCAGGACCCAATGGGGCCATAGAAGGCCCCCTTGGTGGGTTCATTCTGTTCATAGCTGCAGGAGGGCCTAATATGAAAGATTTAATTATATTTGGAAATTTGTCTTAATCTATTGTATGCACAGCACCAACGACACCGCATGCTAGCACCAATGATTTTTATGAAGAATGAATCTTTTCAGAAATTTCATCTACACTTGATTTGAAGAAAACAATTACTACAACTTTGAATTTGAAGAAAATGATTCGTGAATTTATTTTTGAGATGAGGATTTACAAAAAGTAACTAATCTCCACATCTGAATGACCTCTCTGGAATTGTAACTTCAATTGTAGTTTAGCATTATTTGGAACAGATTATTTACAACATTAATCAAAGAATTGATCGTGTCTGAAGTAACACTGAGAAATGGTAAGTTATGCAACCTATTACTGATATCTCAAAAATAAATACCTTGCAAATACAATTGACTCAAAGTAGAAATTAAGCTGTGCAGTGTTTTGAGAATGATGTGCAATGTCATGGTTTGAGAGAGAAAGAAGAAAAATTGATTGCATGAAATTCATTTATGGTAAATTAAAAGCAAAGCAAGCAGAAGAAGTGTATAATGATTATGGAAATGTGATGGTGAAGGAGCGCATTTGCCTACCTTGCCAACCTACAAACTCTCCGCCTTCACCTGGAGACAGAAATAGATGCATTACATGAGGCATACACTGCTCAAAATTAAACAGGGATATAATAAAATAAAGTAAACCATTGGAAAAGTAGCTATTTTCCAATGATTCCAATAGTTTCAGTAATTACTAGAAATGAAAAAGATATCCCAGTTTAGTTTAGGGCAGTACATCATGAAACCGCTTCATGCTTTTGTGCAAATCATTTTTGTTATATCAATATTAATTTGAATTAATATTATTAATCGATTAATGTTTGCTATTTTTACAACCACAGCCAAAGAGCCATATTTACTTGTGATGTTTAGGATTTCTAAATTCATGAAGTAGTATTTGAAGGCCTCTAGTAGTGGTTGAAAATGTTACAAATATAAAACAAATTCTGCTCTATCCTCAGTCAGGATAAAACAAGAACATTACATCTCTATATACTACAAAATTATTCAAGAGGAGTTTGGAAGATATTTCTAGAACTTCAGAATTACAAAACACTATGTAACAAACCTTCTAATGAAATTACAAAAAACAGTTGAAATAATTGATTATCATTCATATATAACATAAGAACTTCATCTTCTAAACACTTAAAAAGCAAACAGTCATTATGCCTAAGCGATCTTCTGTTTTTGATGTCTTGTTGACCTTTTGATGAGGGTCATTTATTGATTAAAAACCGTTTTGTAATGGAATAAACGAAACTTTTATTCATGAATGTAAATTGTATCAAAAACTTAAATATGATTTTTTTTACTTTTCTTCAGCCACCCTTAACATTTGAACATTTGTCATGTCGTGGCACGAGTTACTGTTTTACTGTTAATGTTTCGTCTGATGGTGCCGAGTCAGGATTATATGGTGGATCATCCAGGTTATGAAACCTATCCAATCGCGTCTTTGTTTTTGCCGCAACAGTAGGCTGTACGGATCGTTCTCCATCATGAAAAATTGTCCTTCCTCCATTGCATTATTGCAATGTGAATTTCAGCAGGACAACTTTCGCATTTAAAAACCGAATAATAAGAGCATATCACAATCGGTGAGACTACATATTGACATGGTGATAAACAAAGCAGTACCACCAAACATCTAACACTCATAGAGATGTCAAACTTACTCACAGAATAGCGAAGGACTGACAGAGACTGGCCGAACTTCAAAGGAAGTCACGTGAAAATATGCACAAATACGATCCACTGGTTGTTACTTAAAAAATGACCCTCGTACTATCTTCTGGACAGATGTTTTGAGAAACTGAATTGTGAAATTTCTAAATAAAAATTTGATGTTCAATTGTACTAAGCTGAAATATAGTGTTTTCTGAAATATTACTAATGACTCTGTGGCTGCAAACTTTGTAGAATCAAAAATAAAAATAAAAATCGGTCAAATTCAATACTTGGATATAAAAATACTATTTACCTTGTCTGGTAGGGTCCATATTGTTGCCCATCAAGGGTTGTCCTGGTGGCTTGAAATGGACAATGAGATTAACATTGGTATATTTTAATTTACAGCAGTACATTCATATTTTGAATGTATTGATTAAATTTCTGAATTACCATTATTGTGAATGAATGAATATTCATCACAGGAATGAAAGAATATTTAAAAATTTGTTTCGTTTCATTATAAAATACTCGAGAAGATTGAGAAAAAAAAAATTATTTATAAAATTATGTTATACTTACACCATTAAAGTCACTCCCAATCTGGGGTATTCTTACACCAGGTCGAGGTCCTGCTGGATAACGAGGGCCCATGAATGGCTGTGATGACATAATTTGAGAATGGGGAGGTGGGGGTTGCGAATGTGGTGAAGGCTGACTCGAAGGATGAGTTGGAGGAGACGGACGTAGTGTCGAATTCTGAAAAATTCATTCTACTTCAGAAAAAAACTTAACATTTATGTTACAAAAATTCTATCACGTTGTTACTGAATTCCAAAGTGGAAGGATCAACAAGTATTGAAAATTACTTTGAAATTGGTCAATTGGTCACAATTATTTCATTCTTCACAAAAATTAATAGTTTTACAAATTTTCTTGAGAAAATCAAGTGTTAACGTTTCATATAAAATATTTCAAAACACTTAGGAATCACACGTTAAAAGGTAAGAGCTCGTTAGTCCTTAGCTCGTACAAGTTTCGACTTCTGAGAGTTGTCGTTCGTAGGGGTGCGATAGCTGGTTAATGGAAAAACATAAACTTACTGGAAAGAATCCTGGAGGTAGGGGACCACTGGGCATTCCATCTGAGGGGGGCATTTGACCTAGAGGACTCGGCGCCGGGCCGGTATTCTAAAAAAAAAATTAATAATAGTAAATTTGACTGTTTACTAATGAATTATAACAGAATAAAAACCAAACTTACATGTGCAATTCCGTTTACCCCATATCCTGAGTTCACGAATCCCTAGAAAATTAAACAGAAGATGTTACTCAAGGTAATGATGAAAACTAGGATTGAGTATCATCATTATAAAATGTTCATCAGATCAACCGAAATATTTTTTGAGAAATCAGCAAATATTCAATTTTCCATATTAGTGTCTAAAACGATATTTAAATGTATCAAGAAGTTGAAGGTGCAAGATTCCCACTTTAATGGATTGGATGAGTTTTCTATCACTCTGAGATACTAATGAAACCATAATAGATTTGGCAATGACACAAATAACTTCCTTCAGGCACAAGATTGGGGTCGATTTCGAATCAATGTTGACTTGAATGACTCATTCCTTTCCACAATTCCGAAAATTTCACGTTCAACCCTCAAAATATAGTTTTTTTCAACTATCTCGCTATAACTTCAAAATGATAATATTTAGTCACATTGTAATAAATGAATTAGGGCTCTATTTTGAACTTCAGCTCAACTGAATAGAATAGAATAGAAGTTTATTCATCACTAAAGTTCACATGTACAACATAAAAAAAGTGTAAATACATGAAACTTATTGGACTAGTCACAAAGAGAGCTTAAAAGTAATTAAAATTTACAAGATTATACATAGGTATACATTTTTNGTTTATTTTTTGACTCGTTAATTATTTTCCAACTTTCTCTCATCAGGTTTGGTGCCCTTTGCAGCCTATCATTGTTATATGTGTGTTTTGCTATTTTCACTTTTTCTTTATAGTAGTGCTTTAACATGTTATACCTACTTTTGACCAAATCATTAAATGAACTTTTTACAATTTTTGACATTTCACATAACATGTTATGGAGTTCCTTTAATTCAGAAGAGTACCATGGTTTCTTATTTTTGTTAACATAGGTTTTTTTTAAAGGAAAAGCAATGTTGTAACAATATTGAAATGTGATATAGAAGCTTTTAAATTTATCATCGGTATTAATTGACGTGAACACGTCTGTATCATCCCAATGTTATGCAAAAGATAATGTTTCAGTTCTGCGGGAATACGACTTTCAAAAATGGATGAGAACTGAACTCTTCACCAAAAATTTTCCAACAATGGATATTTGTAAGGTATTGTTCCGTCTTTCAAATTCAATTTCAATTTATTATTATTTTCATTTTTATATGTATTAATTTTTAAAATTCAGACTGATATATTACCGTGTTTGCCTCCATTTGTGAATATTGACTATATTTCCCACCCCCGTACACGATATTCCGTTAAAAACGGTCGGGAGTGCGAGAGAAGAAACGAATCGCTCAAATGCTCGATAAGTTGCCCAAGTGATGTATGAGATAGTGTTGCTGTGAAATGTCTTTAGAGGAACACTATTGCTCACCAGGATATGAAACCGGAAAACCTACATTATTCGAAACAAGTCGCTGAAAGTCTCAAGGTAGGCACAGTTTGGTTTAATTAAAAATATTTGCTCTCTATTCACCAAATCCCACAAAAAAACAACATTCAAATTCATATCGCAGGAAATACAGTCCACGTACATTGATACTCGACAGGTAAGTTACCAATAGAATATCTATAGGGTGGCGAAACGAAAGCAAAACATATCAGTTATCAGGAACTATCTACTTGTGAGTGGGTCTTGTCATATTGAATGTTTTTTCGTTATAGTGAATAAAAACTTATCGCCCTGGCATTTCCATTTTAAAATTAAATTAGCTGAATACTTATTAGATGTTCGAATGGTCAAACTGTTGACCACTAACATGTGGGAAAATTTGAGGCCACTCAGTACCACTTCTCCCAATTCACTGCTGTGGAAAATGTTTGTTCAAGTGCTGATTAACAATCAAGGCATAATGCGGATAAACACCGTCCCCTTTGAACTTCAAATGACCTCCATCATTTAATTAAGAAAATTACATTTTCATGACGCTGGATCAGAAGACGCAGCATTAAATGGCCTCCAAAGTCACCAAACTTGTCGCCTCTTGGTTTCTTTGTTTAGGTATATGCGAAAGTACAATCTAGACAACACAACCAGCGACTTTGGAAGCTCTGCACCAAAGAATTTTCGAGGAGATTCATCGAAAACGTTTTGAATAGAATATTCATTGTTCACCTTTTGAAATGTAATCCCAAAAGGGCATACAAAATGACAGACCACTGCATTTGTCTCAAATGTTGGTACATAACGGCTGTTTCATTTTCGTTTGGTCACTCTGTAGCAAAGCATGGTGACTGCTCACTTGTCTCATCATTTATTTGAATTAAAAACTACTTTGCCGGGGCCCGTGGCATTAGTCATATTTTTGTTGTGATCTGTTTATGTGCCGAAATACTCGAGAAAAATGTGGTGCTATTGCTGTAACTTACAATCTTCAATTCTGTCTGGGACTTGCCTAACCTTAAATACTGACATTAACTTATTTACGTCGAAAAAATCACGGCGTGTTTTTACAACTTCACAAAAACATGAATCTGGTAAAGACAAGAATAAAACATTGTTTACAATATTTCATTTTATTCAAAGTTTCGTCCTTCTGATAAACACATCTATACATTCTACAAATAATAATTTTTTATAATTATTGCATCGAATTTTTTGGTTTTAACCATTTTCTTCTTTTTATTGTTAATATTTTCAATATTGGTGCCTGGTCAATTGTAGGTGAGTTAGCTTTTTCTGTATATCATCACATGTACGTTTTGGTTATATCAACTGATCATATTAAATCGATGGCCAAGATATTACCTATTGGATCACTTGAAAGTTATCACACCGTAAGAGGTAGTATAGCTGGACATTTCGTCAACAACTGCGATGTGCATCTTCAAAGGCAATATAGTTAACAACAATTGAATATTATAAGTGCTACGGATACCTTCGAGCTAAACTTTGCCTATTCATATTTATCCGTGTGACTTTTGAAAGGAGAACGGTATCAAGTTCCGACAAAATTTACTTAAGAAGATATCATTTATAGTACATTTTAATGAGAAAGTCAAAAGTTTTGCATCACTCGTCGTCATAAGGGCGCTACCACCTTTTTTCCAAATGGAAAGAAGGAGGTTCTTTTGATAACACGTTTGATAGGCATTAAAGTTCTCTGTCCAACATTTTTTATTTTTTAAAATCGGATTAGCAGTCTTATATCAGTTTTAAGGATTTACTAAATATCATAATTTAAAGAAAAATTGTATTCCAACTCACTTCACTTCATTCCAGTACTTAAATGTTCAAATCGATCACCATTCACTTTCTGGCGATAATGAAGTTTGTTAATACACAAATTCATTATAGAATATTTCTGGGGTAATTTCACCAATCCCCACGAAAATCTGAGGATGCCATAACAGGTCTGTCTGTCTGTCTATCTAGCCATTTTCAAACCAGCTCTAAACCGGTAGACAGGCAAACGTGAGCTCACTAGATCACCCGATATGACACCTCTAGATGTTTTAGAGGGGATACGTGACATCTGAAGTGTACGATACACAACTGTGATTCATTTCAGACTCCGGGAGGGGGACTATTTACGTCCGCAGTGTAAAGAAACTCAAGACAAGAAGATAAATACTTTTGAATAAAAATTCAAAACATGAGTTGAAGCAATAGGGATATCTTCAAAATCGACTACCCAACACATAACGGTAAGTGCAAGAACAAATGACATGGAAAATATCTGTAATCTTTTCAGTAACCATTTTATGAATATCCTAGCCATAAACCTAATCCTTATGAAGTTCGATCATCTCCTAACCATAATTTCACAGTCTTTCTTGGACAAACAACACCCAAAGACATTGAAGACTATATTATAGAATCCACACGTAAATAGGCTCAAGGCATAGATGGAATTTCCGGGAAAATTATAAAATATGTCAAAGAAACAATAAGTACACCATTGCCACATATTATAAATAAATCTTTCAAGGCAGGAATCTACCCAGAAATGTTGAAAACATCAAAGACAATTCCAATTTACAAAAATAAAGGGTGCAAGAATGACATAACAAACTATCGAAATGTAGTTGAATATTTAGTTGAATTAATTTTTAGAATACCAGAAGTTGTCAAAATGGTTTAGAAGTAATAAATCCACAACTACAGCAATTGCAGACTTGTGTACGAATATCTACACTGCATTAAATGGAAAAGAACGCCCGATAACCCTATACTTTGATCTCAGTAGGGCACTTGAAACAATCGATCATACACTCTTACTTGATAAATTGTACCGTATTGGAGTTAGAGATGTGGCAAATAATTGGATTGCTTCATAATTGAAAGATAGGAAACAAGTAGTAGTCATGAAAAAGTAAGTCACAACCGAGAGCAATTAATATCGGTGTACCACAAGGATCTATCGTAGGTCCCGTTTTATTTATCATCTTTATGAATGACATGGCACACTCTTGTCCTAATGCAAAAAAAATATTTATGTACACATACATGTATGATACAAATATACTGGTCTCAGAAATCAACTAACGGGATGCATTAGCGAGGGCAAATATCACCACAAATGCATTTCATAAATAGTGTCTTTTTTATAATGGGCTACTAGTAAATGTATCTGGAACTTTTTTTTATGACATTCATAATGCAAAATATGAATGAACAATGATGTTAGTTATCTGATGAAAGTCAATAATAAAAGCATTGAACAAGTGAATTCTATCAAATTTCATGGAATTACTATAGACCATAAGGTGACATGGGTGGAAAACATCAATGTTGTTATGAGAAAATTAAGCACTATGTGCTTTATAATTAGACGGCTACAAAGAACAGTGTCTGGAAGTATTAAATTGGCGTAATTTGGACTTGTCCAGTCTCTATTAACATAAATATGGTCTGATGTTGTGGAATTCGCCGCGGTGGTAGTGCGCCCGACTCACGATCGGAAGATCGTGGGTTCGATTCCCGCCTCGACCAGATTTTTTTCTCGATAGAATTTATCTGGTTGAAGCGGGGATGATTCCGCAACCGTGTTAGGAATCACACGTTAAATGGTAAGACCTCGTTAGTCCTTAGCTCGCACAAGTTTCTCAATTTCTGAGAGTTGTCGTTCGTATATGGGCGACAGCTGATTAACGGTAAAACATTAACATAACTGGCAACACTGTACTATTGATTTTTTTCAAAGGATGTAGAAGGTTTATTGTATGTCCCCAAACGAATTTTCAGAAAAATATCATAATTCTCTGAATTCAGCCACAGATCACAATCCAAGGAAACCTGTAGAAACTCGTGGACAATTTGAAATACCTTAGACATATTAGATAGTCTTTTTCCTGAATAACCTCATAGAATGAAGAAATGTTCATGTAGCCTTGGGAAAACGATATTAGATAATGTTTGCATCACTCTGTAGCAGATAAGAAATGGTTATTAGACAAGTACCACATACAGAAAGAAACAATGTAAAAAATAAGGACATCTACCATTCCTAGTAAACCAGCGCCTTAGTCATATCGTAACCTCGTCAGTACAGATAAAATTTCAAGGTTTACTACTCGAGCTCGGAAAGTTATCAAACCAACAAGTAAACAATCAACAATAAGTAATTTCTGCACAAATAATATGTTCCCAAGAATATCTTCCCCGATTAAGTTTCATGACAGCTCCTCACCTTTGAATAATGTTTTCATTAAAACGGCATCAAAATATAATAAAAAAAGAAGCTTAATAAAAAATCGAACCAGTTTCACATCCAATGATGAGCTGGGCAACTGTACCTGGTCAAACGCGTATACTCCTACAGCGTTGCCATGTTTCCAAGAGCGGAGTATTGATCGCACTTAATATTAGTAGAAGCAAAAAAAAATACTCACGTAATCGTGAAAAGCCTTCGCTTCCGAAGAGTGTTCACAAGTGTCCCTCCTTTCTGGAGCAGCACAATACAAATCCCAAAACACACTAAAATCAACGAGAATTAACAAAATACATATTTCAGAAAATGTCAACATACCACCACCATGAATGTAAAAATCCCGGAGGTTCTCCTAATGTTATATTTTTCTCCCATCGAATCTGAAATGAAAATGATTTTGAAAAAGCAATTTAAAATATTGAAGATGTAACTCACCTCCGACAGAAACGTCTGTGCAGCTTTTTGTGCACCAACATGAAGTAAATATTCATACACATACAGTGCCAACCTGAGGAAAAAGTTTTTAATTTATGAAAATCATAGATACGTTTTTATTTTCCGAAACACATTGTAAATATCAAATAATAATTCATTGATAGTAGATGTAAACAAACTGCTGAAACTGTGCGAATCAAGGCCCACATTAAAATCTAACTGTAGCACAATATGTTACCGAGAAGATTGTAAATAGATCCTGTTTTCAAATCAGTTTTTATATTCTTCAAGATTTTTTTAGATACTAGTACGTGGGGCCATCAAGTTTATAATGTTGATTTACTAGTTGCTTCAATTATTTTTAAAACATGGAGAGTGGGCAATCAGCAAGGAGAAAATAGATTTACTATAAACTTACTTTTCTCTCGCTTGAGCATCGGATGGCACAGATGATCCTTTTCCTTTTGCATACATCTTTCAGGAATTACTCAACAAACGTACCTAACCTGCATACATTTAATTCAATGTGAAGTTCGGAACTGTTTTATTTGGCGGAACACGCTGCTCATACATGTTAGAAAATGCCGTTCATTCAGTTCATTGCGTTATTTAGACAAACACACACTGCACGTTTCACATCACAGTTTGCAACTATGATAAAAAAAAATCGATCCGAAATTTTGTATATTTACTGGTGAGCACACATAGAAAACGTTTACGTCCATAACACGTCAAATCAAATTGTTATTCGACGCCGCTATACGAAATCATCACTGGTATCTCGTATCGTCCATGGAGCATGCGTTAAGTCTACCTCCCGCTGTCCCGTTATAAAATGACTACGCTTTGCTCTGCTTCAGTGCCTCCTTTGTTCATACATTTGTTAGTTTGCTGAAATCGTGACACTTCTTTCACTCAACGTTAAATTATCGTAGGCATTTTTTATACAACTTTCACAGAAACTCACTGTTATGATATATCGGACCAACTAAACATGGCAACGACCCTATTTCCTATTTGTTAATGCGAATGCGCGTACACTACGGGGGCAAAACCATTCCAATCCGAACAAACTCTGAAGCATGAACACAGAAAAATGTTGGGTGTTGGGACTGTTGTTTCAGTCAACAAGACACGAAGCCTTTGAAATTTGTTCAACTTTCTCTCAAAATATTTTCAATACTTGTAAGGTTTGTAATTCGTGATTATAAGTACGGATTATGAGAGAAGAGTTAATCCTCTCTACTCCCCAAATTTTCACCCTCAACACCAGAGGCGCATCAAGTACGATTTCTACAGGGATATACCTATAGATATTTATTGGAAGTATTGGTAACCATATTACATTTGAAAATTTCTTATGACTCACCATAGTTAGATGTAAGTTTAAGAAATGTGTCTTTTATACATTTGAATGGACTTCGGAGATGAATAAATTTGATTTGATTTTGATATGAGTAAAGGACAGATCTAAACAAGACAGCCCCTCCATCTGGCACTCAACTAATTTTATAGGCATTTCACCACCTGAATAATAATTTACTTAAGAGATCACTTATCTACAGGATGAGTGACATTTATCTTTACCACAAGCTCTGTTGAGATATTTGAAGAATCACCTCTTAAATTTGAGAATGTCATCAAGACTTTGTTGCATAGTAACGGTAGTAGTTTATAACAATATTTTTAAATAATTGGTTCAACCACAATTGATGATAAAATCTGCCAAACCTTATTCTGTATAATTTTTTCCATCTATATTTGAATTTTCTATTGTCTTTTAAATGGATGTATTTCTGTTAGACAATAAAGATGCATTATTACATGTGATGAAATCGAATCAATTGAGTTAAAAAAAAAATTTTTTCTTGATAATCCAAACGAAAACAAGCAAGTTAGCGTCTCCAGGAGACAGATAGACATCTATTTCATCTCCTGAAGACGCCAAGTTGGCGTCGGGAGATAAAGACGCCATGGCGCGTCGAGAAGAGTATTGCATTTCTGGTGATTGTGATGCACTGTTTGGAACTTTGGTGTAGTACCTAATGAATATTACTGGAGTTTTTGTCAACACGAAACCGTTCTTTCAACACCTCGACACGTGTTTTGATCACCAAGTGATCACCTTCAAGAAGATTGTTAAATGTATTGCAGTTCTGGTGTTTGCGAATAGTATTTGTTTTGGTCTTGAATGGCTTGAAGAAGTTTTTCCATGAGAGTATGGACAATTAAAGTTCNATTATCGTAGGCATTTTTTATACAACTTTCACAGAAACTCACTGTTATGATATATCGGACCAACTAAACATGGCAACGACCCTATTTCCTATTTGTTAATGCGAATGCGCGTACACTACGGGGGCAAAACCATTCCAATCCGAACAAACTCTGAAGCATGAACACAGAAAAATGTTGGGTGTTGGGACTGTTGTTTCAGTCAACAAGACACGAAGCCTTTGAAATTTGTTCAACTTTCTCTCAAAATATTTTCAATACTTGTAAGGTTTGTAATTCGTGATTATAAGTACGGATTATGAGAGAAGAGTTAATCCTCTCTACTCCCCAAATTTTCACCCTCAACACCAGAGGCGCATCAAGTACGATTTCTACAGGGATATACCTATAGATATTTATTGGAAGTATTGGTAACCATATTACATTTGAAAATTTCTTATGACTCACCATAGTTAGATGTAAGTTTAAGAAGGATACAAGTATATTTTCACGTTAGAAACAGGAGAAAAAAATCATTAAATTAAAGTTAAAATTACAATTCAATCCTGAAACTCGTCTACGAATGTATTTAATCACGAAATGATATTCGAGCATTCGAAATTTTAAAATTTACGGAAGTATAGAAGAGCCACAGAGTTATATTTTCAACTTTTAAGACTTTGAAAGTCTGATTTATATTTTTCCGATACCTTACATGAAAATTTCGACTCAAACCTATAATGTCCGATTTCAAACATGGAATTATATATTTTTTCGTTTTCTACAGTAAATTCCTACTTGAAATTCGGAAATATACTTTTACGACTTGAAATTTGAACAATGGAAAGCATCAATGTATAGAGTATAAAATTCTATATCGACTACTATATACTACGACACAGTAGATTAAATATTTATTGAGACATGGAGCTACAACAACGCTACAAAAACACATGACACTAAAACAGACAAACCTTTTGAAACAGCCTATTACTTTCAGAATCATCCAAACTGCCAGTTATCCATTAAGAGGATAATTTGATTTTTGAAAATCTGTACTGCATTTTTTGATTCCTTGAGATTTTTTGTAATTAGTTGTTCAGGGTTACCTCTTCATCTTCATTGCCGAGTTCTTCCTTATCCCCTATGCTTGAAGTCAGATCGACTAAGAATGAGAAAATGGATTTAGAGTTGTGTCAATAATACTTTCGGAAAGTGTATCGAATTTATTCTGAAGTTCATTAGGATTGTGTTGCAAGCTCCGGCTTGCAACACAATCCTCATATAGAAATATTATCTTTTTCTGCATTCCAATGGTATATGTTTCAGTTTTACTTCCGCTGGATAAAGTTTTCCACACTTCACAGCAACGGTTTTATTGCAACTAACATATGATATAGTAAACATTTTGTACACGCAATCTTATCCATTTGTTTTGATTATTGATTGAACCCGTTAATTCGGTCATTAGTTATGTTTTGCTGTAGAAAATTTTATTGAAGGTCACAAATGGGACTATAAATATAAACAATTGCAAATAAGTTTTCGCTGGAGATAACCTGGAATGCAGCCCTTAAATATCAGGTTTTACAATTTTTTCTTCACTAGTTTACAATAATTTTATTTTTGGAAGCCGCATGATAATGCAGCTTCCAAAAATAAAATTACGTGTCAACCTTATGACGTTCAAAGCTGAACGTTCAGTTATTACATCTATATTTATGAAACTTGGGTACTCTCGTATGACCGGTGAAGAAATTCGCAGAGTAGGGTGGGGACTGAATTTGAAAAATACCCAGTTAGTTCACAAACCTCAATCAAAAGGCAGAATTATTCTTGAAACATCAGGGTGTTAATGGTTTCGCTTGCGGCGATTGTAAGAAATTCCATTAAGCGCTTCCTATCTTTAAATTTGAATAAAACAGAAAGTATGTGTGAGGTATCATCGACATTTTTCATCCGTGTGAAAGACCTATCGATGCCATTATGTGTGGAACATCATTTAAAAGTCCGCCACGGCTTCTCTGGGTGGAGCGCATCCGAAACGTCCAATTTTCCATGACTCTGGCGCATAAATCAGGCAGAATTTGACAGGCCGTTATATTGGCTTTGAGGACCGCTGTGGTTTGTAGCGACACCTGTGACTTAAGGAAACCACACAAGAAAAAGTCTAATGGGGTTAAATTGCACGATCTCGGTGGTCTAATTAGAGACACGAACATCATTTGCAACCTTGATAGTCTGGAACATCGAAGAAAGATTCGAGAAAAAAATATATAATAAGGTATAGTAGCAACATCAATCGTGCAAGGCATTTTTGGGCTATGATAGAAAAGGCATTGAATTGAAAAAGTCGCCAATATTATATAGATTTTCTGTGAGTGATATCTTCAAAAATATCTTGAATTTATGATCGACCCAACTTTTTACACATGTTGATAGATGGAACAAGAATCGAAATCTATCGCTAGTATTTTATTCCGATCTTCATATGAACCATAATGTAATAAATCTTTCACTTGATATCGATTTATTGCCAAATGTAAATGACATTGAGAATTATAGTATAAATTAGTAAGTGTCAGTTGTAACTGTACTCAGCACCTCTGTGAATAAGAGGCTGAAACTTATAGGATCCCTTTATCAAAGCCTTTATTATTTCTTTTATTTCTTCATCAAGGGTGCCGTGAGTCGAGTGTTTTTGACCAAAAAGTTTACATGGGGAAGGGGTCCAAGAAATTACACCAGAGATATTTTGTGCATTTTATCAGAGAGTAAAGGGTCATTATTTTTAAGTTTCGAAACATTGGCACCCATCTTCAGAAGTTGCTCTTACAATAGATCTTACAGTTCTTCTATGAATGACAAATACTCTACATTATAGGTGAATCTGAGCCGCCGAGCTCATAACAGACAAACCATATCTGATAATAGGTGTCAGCAGTGGTGCTAGGTTGACTCACGCAAGCTTGGTTGACCTGTCCTCAAATTACACGCCTGATTTCAACCAAAGATCGGTAGTTGTGTACTATTTGATTTCAATTACTTTCCTTGCAGTGGAAACAACGGACGAATCTAGTTGGCTGTCGAAGCTTGTCTTTGCAACTTAATTTTCTGGAAATCTTCGTTTATCTTTGATATTCGAGGATTGAGTTGTTTGTCGATACCATGGATGGCATCTTCATAAGGGGATATGTCATTGCTGTGTTCTAATGGTGGAATTATCCTTTTCTAGTTATCAAAATGGAGAAAATAAGGCTAAATGACATACAAAAATATCTTTGGAGAGCAATTAAAACTGTTCAAGAAGCAGTTGCCTTCAAAGTTGCAGCTAAACAATAGGTATATCCTAAATCCACCCTACAGGGTAAACTTCAAAGGTAATCCTATAGGAAAAAAGTGGTCCAGACACATTTTCATTAGCTAATTATTTATTGAATTTGGGTATACTTTATTTTTTTCGGTTCAAAAGTTAAAAGATTTCAAGTCAAGGTGGTCGCAGTCCGCGTTTGGTGGCTTGGTTTTCGCGAGGGTGCTACGCATGGTGTTTCCGGATCTGAAGCAGGTTCTGTTGTTGTACTTGGACCCAATTCTTCTTATCCTTTCCAACGATCATCTGATATAGGGAAGTGCAAGCACTGATTGTGACGGCTTCTCTTCAGGCTCTTGCTGTGTTTTAGCCAAAGTCTGTTCTACCATCACTTTGGAGTAACCATTTTGTTGTAGATCTTTTTTCATGTTGCCTAGTTCCTTCTCGAGACCTTCCTTCGTGTTACAGAGCCTGAAAGCAGGGTCTACTACAGTCTTGATGATTTCCCTTTTGGTGGATTGATGGTGGTTCGATTCATGATTCAGATACTGTTCCGTGTGAGTGGGTTTTCAGTATACAGATGTTTCCCACTTAGTGTTGGTCTTTTTCACCAATACGTCTAAGAATGGCAACTCGTTTTGGACTTCTTTCTCCATTGTGAAGATGATGAAAGGTCTCATGCTGTTGATGTGATTTAGAAAGGTGTCTAGTACTGTATTCCCATGGTTCCATATTATGAAGGTGTCGTAAACGTATCTCAACCAGACTCAATGACCAGAGTTTCAAATCACTCCATATTTATGTTGGCTATAACTGATGAAAGTGGCGATCCCAATGGCAGTCCCTCATCCGTCATCATCATTTTACAATTTACAGGAATCCACATTTTAATATTCAGTTAATCGAGTTTACTCTGAAGATGCCTCTTAATGGGTAACTACAATTATTGCAAAATTAATTGGTGTTTTCGACAATTTTTCTTGAATACTTGGTGAAATTCACAAAAAATCCATCATATTCCATCTTCAAATTTAAAATCAATAAAAAGTACAAGGTAAAGGTACTTATTATCATCCCCCTCTCCGGGGGATGATAATAAGTACCTTTACCTTGTTTCTAATTTAAAATAAATCTGATGAAATTTGTTTCCAAAAGTAAAACATTAATAATGGTCCACGTTACTATAATTTTGCAATTGTTTCAGAATCAAATAAAAGTAATCCCACAAGTTAGACTTGCAGAACTCTGTATGAGAAAAGGGGTGTTCTAAATAAAAAACAGTAATACTTCAAAAGTTCATTGAAAAATAAAATAAGAAAATGTCAACAATTTTTCCTTTATCCAAACGAGAATTATATCTTCTTGACTGTCAAATTACCAATATACACCAAAAATCCAACACCAATAGTCGTTAATTTAATTCACAAGCTATGCAACTGCTGCTACCATCTGTGGACAGTTTGGTATATTGCAGTTGATTTCTGCAGCACAGTTTCGACTTCTTGATGCAAAAATGTCAAACATAATGGGTTTCTGGCAAAACTGACATTCCTGTAAATTAAAATAAAGTTAATTCGGACTCTCAATATCTGGAAAATTTCATTTGAAATACTCAAATGAGTAATGAACCAATTTGTTTAGTTTTAAATATTCAACAGAACCTACCTGTTCACATTGCTGACCAGCAAAAGGTAAATCGAGATTTTTCCAAATCTCTTTCAAATCACGAACCAACATATCCATCAGTTCTTTAGTATGGTGAGGTGTGGGAGCTAACCTCAATTTTTCCTGCCCTCTAGCAACAGTCGGGTAATTTATAGCTTGTATATAGTGACCCTTCTCTTTCAACAGAGTATCACAGACATTGCTACACTTAATGGGGTCCCCAATTTTAATTGGTATAATATGACTAGGTGTATGCTCGACTGGGAAGCCTTCTTGAAGTAAAATATTTCGAAGATACCGAACATTTGACTGGTGTTTTTCACGGAGTTGTCGACCTTCAGCAGAGGCTAATATGTCAACAGCTTTGGAGGCTCCCGCTAACACAGTTGGTGGCAGAGATGTAGTAAAAATAAACCCTGCTGCATATGAACGTATCATGTCAATCAATAAGGCGTTGCTTGCTGAAAGGGAGAAGGAATTATGTAAAATAATTTTGTCGACTTGTTTTCTTATGTCATCTTACCTACATAACCCCCGATGTTTCCAAAAGCTTTTCCCAAAGTTCCAGATATCATATCCATTTTGTGCATAACTTGGTCCCTTTCACCTATACCTGCCCCATGTTCTCCATATAATCCAACGGCGTGAACTTCATCAACAAATGTTAAGGCACCATATTTGTGCGCAATGTCACACATTTCCTAAAATTGATTGAAAAATGCACATTAACTCCACATTTTGTTTTGTGACACTACCTATATGAACAACATTCTTTAAAATGATATAGAGGAAGGAAGGTTTTTGTGTTGTCCCTTACGAAAAATTGTGGATGACTTTCTTACGGACTTCTTATGGACGTCCTTGATGGATATCTTATGGACGTATAGGTTAGATCTCTCCAAAAGTCCATAAGATATCCTCTGGATATCGTGTATTTGCAATATCCAGAATTGGTGTTTAATGGATATGCATCAAATCTTTATGTGTTGTCTGTTAATCCTTACTTTGCACAAGTTTCGACTTCTGAGGGTTGTCGTTCATAGAAGGGTGACAGTTGGTTATCAAATTTGAAATTTCTTACCTCAAGTGGACACACAGCTCCTGACATGGAATGAACTGTTTCAAATGCAACAATTTTTGGAATATTTCTGTTTACTGTTTTGAGAAGCTCTTCCAAGTGGGCAGGGTCATTATGTCTAAAGATATGTTTCGGAACTTGACTGTTTCTTATTCCGTATATCATTGATGCATGATTGCCAGAGTCAGAAAAAACGTGACAACCTAAAAAAATCAAATGAGAACATTCAGTAACAGTAATCTAAACAAAATATTAATGTTGATATTAAAATGTTGTACTTTTATTTTAATACAGGCGAGCCACACGAATAGTCAACCTCAAAATGAAACTGAAAACACCGTCGCTCAAACTTCAATTATTCAACTCAGTTCGGGCTTGACTTAATCTGAATGAGACAATATATTTTTCTAATCATCTGCTTTAATAAGTTGACTTTCTGGGATATCTGGCGTTGCTCAGGGAGTTGATATAAGATTGTGTGGTAGTTGAAATGAAAGGTCAAACTTTAAATTATGAGAGATTGACAGATCTTGCTTTTTATACCCCTACTAATAAGAAGCCTCCTCCATACAAAAAGGCATTGAATTGTCCACAAGGTCCAAAAATTTTTGAATTGGAATATTCTGAATTTCACAACTCTTCAAAATGTTTTATATTGAACGTCATAATTTGTGATGAAAAATTTATTTACTTTTAAATGAACAACTGCGTAACTTCAGATGAAAACTTCCTTAATTCATTCAAAAAACACTTTACTGTGTGAGATTTTCACTAAACAGTTTTACAAATAAGCAATACGTGTTTCGCTATACAATGGCTTCTTCAGACGTTTCTGGTTAGGACACATGTGTCTAGTATAAGCATGCCTGAAGAAACTATTGTATAGCAAAACAAATGTTTCATTTTTGTAAAACTGTTTGATGAAAATCTCATAATAGATGAAAAGATGTTTTTGCTTGTATGAATTAAACTAATACTAACCGAACAGCTGTCTTCACTTCTGGATGACACGACATACCCAAATAATCATTTGAACACCAAACGGTGATAGGCTTATCACCCCATGACTCTTCTAATGCTTGGGGGAATTGACCAGGACCAGCAAGTCTATTGACCTTCTTGAAAATTCTGTAAGAATGTTCTTGTTTCTTTTTCATTATCTGTTGATGAAAGAATTGCTCGTACGCAAACGATTCTGAAATAAAAAAATCATCAAGTCAAATGTATCCACAGTATAATTTGATTCATAGAAACAATCAAGCCAGAGAAAACAAGAAATATATTAAGCAAATAGCAAGAAATAACCTTGTTGTTCACATGCATAAATTTCATAAGTATTGACAGTTTTGAATTTACAAAAAAAAACAATGCTTTTTTTCATGTTAATTTGTTAATTGCAATTTTTTGTGTGCTGTAAAATCAATAAAATACAATTTTCTACACGTCTTTCTGAACCCAATGAGCTATTGCTCATATTTTTAGGAGCTTTTTGATTATTCAACACATATTTCACTTTATGAATTAGACTATAGCGTAAGATTGCATATATGCTGACAGCAAATTCATAATCTCATTGTTTCATGAGTCATGGTCTGAAAGTCCTGAGAATTATTCATGATTTTTTTGTACACACATACTAGAATCCTCAATACTGTTAAAGATAACCCCCAACGCCTTGGCTTAATCACATGCATACCATTAATTAATTATCTGCTGAAAGAGTGAGTTCCATTTCCTTCATCAAGAACCATTCTTTCATGTATTATCACAAGACATAGATATTATAAAACTTTCCCTTTTGACAGTGTATTGGGAAAAAGTTGCATTTCTTTGAATATAATTTCAATGGTAATAAAAATGATTCTTCTTACCAGGCAATGCTTTGGCGAGTGTGAATAATGTTGAGTCGTTGGCGACAAAGCATGACGTGAAAAGTAGAGCAGCTTCCTTCTGATGCAAACCAGCGAGTTTCTTTTCCAGATTCACATGTAAAGTTGAATTACCAGAAATATTTCTAGTACCACCCGCTCCACTTCCATATTTCTCCAAAGCATCACTGAAAATACGAAAAATTCAAAACACATTGTTTTAAACCAGAGTTAATTGCCCTGTTTATTATATATCATATACATCAGCACATCCATGAAAACTCGGTAATATGTGTATTTGAATTAAATAACATCTTACATGTATTGAAGTTGAATTCATGGCAAGGTTAAAGTATAAAACTAAGTCTACTGAAGCATTCTGCCTGTAATTTTTCGATATGGGTGTTAAATTTGAAATAAAAACGTTCGTCAGCAATTCATCCAAAACGTTGTTGATACCTCATGGTCTGATTATGGAATGTTTTTTCTAGAAAAAGACATTACTTTGCTAGAGAAATTCCAGGCTAAGTCATTGTCGAAAATAAAATTGAATATTTTCAATTTCGAGTTTTTAATATAGTCAGATATGTTATTGAGGAATATGACAAACAGAAGAGGTCCGAGTATTGAGCCCTGTGGGACTTCTTCTTTCAATAAAGTTATATTACATTCATTGATTGATAAGTACTGTAGATACACTATGTTTCATGTGTTCTGTGGTCTACAGTTATTGTTTTATTATTTTATGTGCCTTATATCCCTATTCTCTGTAGATCATGCAAAGCCAAGCTGTACTAAGATCGCCTGAAAAATTAAGTTCAGCTCAAATGTTGATGTTACACATTGTAATTATTTAAGCCAAGCCTTTTGAAGTCCAAAATACTTGTGGCAATGCCTGAAAATTGTTGAAATTGTTCAAGTAAATCATTTTCACCAAGTACGATAAACAAGAAGAAGAATTTTATGTCAAATCAAAGAAAACTGATTAAAATTGTACAATTCAAGCAGAAGGGATCCTAGGTACAAACAAGATATTCCATATTTTGGATGCTCAATTCTGGCACATAGAAGTAGAAGATTTCCTCATTATGAAAAAAATACAAAATAGAAATAGAATTATTGAAATTCAAATAAGAGAAAAATATGTGGACTTTTAGTTTTTTTGCATTGAATATATTTAACACATTATATATCGGACTTTTACTTTAAGAAAATTATCAAAATGTGAATCAATCAACTCATACTTATATAAATGCTGAGATAACGTGATTATTTGATGAATGGTTCAGCCATAGAAAGTAAATTATGAAATTTTTTCGCTAGGCAGTTAAATAAATACAATGACGAAAGTTTGAACGCTGTAGATGTATAAATATCCGTTATTTGTAGGTGAAATTTCAAGTCATAGCAGTACTTGTCAGTTCCCACCGCAGACAGAAAGCTAGGTTTGGTTCATTAATTTTGGCTTGAAGGCTCTGATCTGCCAAATTGAAATGTTTAACTTTAAGCCGACTCAATGACAATTTTTATTATGATGCATATAAATTTTACAAATCAAGCAATCTTAAGGTCTAACTCAGACTTTATACTACAAAGAGAATATGACCATCAGTTACATAGTGTGTATAGATTAATTAGTTTTATAAAACACACTTCACTATTTTATTATTATGTAACAAATCACTTCATAATTCACTATAGATATATCTTCTGGTCTAATAAGTTTTTACTTGATACTAGTGAAAATGATTTGACTTGAGGTTTAGTTAGAATGAAATATAATATAAGAGAATAAATGAATGAATGAAATATAAAATAAGTTATTGATTGTTAGTTTTCTAACCCACTTGACTCTAATGCAACATGATCTTGAATTTCAGCACAACTTCTGAAGAGGTTACGCAGAATTATGCATATTACCAATTGCTAAGAACATGCTTATGGAGAGCATAGCAGACCACTGACTGACATTGAAAGTCACAGTATTCTGGCAACGACCTCCGACTCAATGCCTTGAATTGTCAACAACAAATTGCCTTTTAAAATCGTGATCAGAAGTAGAGAGGATTGGATCTTTCGTTAAGAAAAAATACTAAGAGCAGATAGCTGTTGGTTCACAGATGGATCCAAACCACTCACTTTGGACCTTCCTACCTACTAAATGTCAGTCATATTTTCAATTATGCAAAAAGTTAAAAAAAACTTGTAGTGGAATATTATATGTAAGAAGCAAATCTTTAGTAGTAAACTGCTTTTTGGTTAAGAGCCCTGGCTTAACCATGGTTCTCAAATAGCATTTCATCAACAGCAAAACCTTGCATACTTTATTTCCTGATAGATGAGTGAAATTGAAATGCCGCACTGATCTCTTAGTAAGTGAAAAATCACAGTGAAAAAAGTAATGTCCTATGAGGGGTTTCATCAAGGGTTTGTTTCGTAATTATGAATGATTTGAAAGGAATACCCACAAGAATCCGTTACTCACTGGAGAGTCAAGGGCAATGAAGCTCTGAAGTTTCACTACAAAAAAATTAGTAATGTAACTAAAAGAATCAAATAATCAAGAGATGAAAGTGAGATGTAAGTAGAACGAGAATTGTTTATCATTAACTCTGCTTTGGCTACATATTATTCACAATCTGATGAAGTTATATGAACAAGCCTCAAGTTCAAGGATAAGGGAATAACTTATGCCTCACTACTACTACGACAATCAACTCTCTCATGTAAAGAGTACTAAAGATGATTGAAAATCTTATGTCCAAAAAGGATTCCCTAGTAAAACAGTGGCAAATCCATCTCTCAAATATAAAAAACTGTTCCATTATATATGTGTAATGAAAGATATAGCTAGCAGTACATTCAGTATTCAACAGGCAGTACCATATATGAATATTTTGGAAGTACTTTCACTAGAATTCACGCCAAAATACACAGGCAAGATATTATTTATGTTATGATTTCAAGATGCAAATTGAAAAGGTGAAATAAAACCATAAAATATTGGATTTGAATCAATTGGTATATTATAAAGTTTGTGGAAAAAGGTTTTTTTTATAATAAATGGTGTCTAATGAAGAGATATAAGTTTATTTGGAAAATTTGATATCACCTTTAATATACCATGAAAACGAAGAGAGATCATCAAAGAATTGGTTTGCATGATATTGTTTTCAATAGATACATGCTCTTTGAAACTAATCAAGTGCTGCAATATATTTATAAAAGGTATTTCCTTAATTGAAAGTCAAAAATGAACAAAATTTTTACAGAAATCTGAACTGATGTTTGTGAGATTTGTTCTGAATGAGCAAGATTTATATTTCTTCAAAGCTATGTTTGGTAGGAAACTCAAGGGCTATCATTTGCACCATGTTTGAAGCACTACCTTATCAGATAGCTAAGTTGGAAGGAAGACCACGAAGACACAATTGTGAGCCTCCAGTTACTATAATTTCTTGAAAAGAATGGCAAAGAGAAATCAAGTGTTGTGCCAAACTATATAACTGAATTTTTTGATAAGACACTCAGATATTATTGAATCAATTTTGCAGGAGTGTAATTAACTTTGAGAGGCCTCTGTATCCTGGGTTTCAAATAAATGGAGGTTATGTTAAAAATAATTTTTTACCTCAGCATCAGTTGTTATTAGCCGTGGTGCTTAAAGGATATAACGAATTATTCTAAGTGGAAAATAATGACAACACTGAAATAAATCATCACCCATAACTATACAAAGTATAACTTTTTTGGGATTTTCCATGCATTTAATAGATTGTATGCAAATAATAATAGTTCTAGTAACTTCCTAGTAACTTCATGACTTGCATTTTCTGTCTCAAAATATTTCATTTCACAAGTGTATTATTTTCGGTGATGAAATATTAGTGAAGGAAAAAGTTCACATATAAAAATATTACACAATATTTTAATTGGAAGTGTAAAACCAATACTTGGAAATAATGACCTATTAAAAGTAGGTCAATGTATTCAAGTTTGTAGATACATTTCCACATATTCAATTAAATCAATTATTCCATAACTACTTTTGCTCCAATCAATACAATCAACATATGAAGAAAAAATGTATTGATATAAAATAATTGCGATAATATATTTTGTATATTACTATTAAGGATTAGATAATTGAATACAAATTTTGAATCAGACAGATAAATATATCAAAAACAAATTATGATTTATGAAGTGTTTTCAAATATAACACTCAAATAATATAGAAACAATAATAGAATCCAGTTTGAACCAGAATATTCTCTTGGTTTCGTATGACAAATATTTTGAAAAGGAGATCCAAAGATATATAATTCATGGGATAACTCAACCCAATGTAATGAAATAATATCGACATAAGATTTTATTTACATTACTGAACATGTATGGGGCTATGTTGCTAAGACATACAATAAAAATTGCAAGTTTATTTTTTTCATGCATTTTCATAGTCATTAAAGATTTTCTAGGTATTTTCTCATTCATAGTCAATTTTAGAACCTCTCATGCAGTGTTGTAGGCACAAGTTTCAGAAAAATCATTTGACATACTCAGGTGACAAACTTCATTTTTTCATACATATTGCATTCCAAATGTGAACATAAAAACGAAAAATTAAACATACTTATGAACTCATACATGATATAAGTTTTGCTTACTCGTTTCCATAATTGTACTGTCATTGCTGGATTTGGTTACACTGATAGTATCATCTTGCTCAACTTCTGTTATTACAGATGACACTTCATTGAGAAAAGGGCAGTTCTGATTATTCTTGACAATTTCTGAAACTGATAAATGTTTATCAAAAAAGAACTACCTCACTTACTGTTTTGAAAATGACCTTAGAATGAAAGGTTGAAATGAAAAGGTAAGATTCATTAATTAAACTAAATAGTGATAAATTACCTACTGATAAACTGCCTTTACTTTTGACCTCAACGTTAGATGGAAAAACGTATAATAATTCGAAAAAAGGACCTTAATATTCACACTTTCACTGAAAGGACACATAAATCACAGATTCAAAGCTCACCTTGACTTTTAACTTCTCCATCACTCGCAATGCTATTAAGACTTCGAGAAATCACAGGACATTGATTTCCATAAGTTTTCAATAGAACAGGGGCATAATTTTTCACGTAGTTGTAGCTCAATCTTGTTAAAAATGGGCAAGACATTTTCATTTATTTCTGAAACTTTGAACAAATTATGTAACATATTCGTATTTATTAAAATACTCACAATCTGATATTTTCTCAGACTCTGTTGAATAATATACTCAATTAGAACCTTTCTTCAATTTAAATTTGAAACTAAAGGCTTGAATCAACAATCAACTTGTTTTCCACAGTGGGTCAAATGAACGTACTCTCCGCAACCAACTCAACTAAATGATCTAACAGCAGTGACAGCAAAACATACGTTTCGTTATATACTCACGACGCGACGCAATGAAAACCTATCTACAGAACTCGTTCTGACCAATAACATGGGATTTCTCATAATTGATATATTTTTCTGTAAATTATTCGACAATATGATAATTAGGTGTTTACGTATCATGCCCCTTGGCTTTCAAATTCATATTTTTACCATTGAATGGTTCGATTATCAATTTCTATAAACGAATAATGATTTCAATTTGAAATTCGATGGGGTTTAGGTTGGAAAATTTGCAAAATTATCATGTAAGTACTTGAATTTTGAACAGTTTCATATATTTAGGCAGATTCATATTGATCTATTATTGATATTTAGTGAATTCTGGCAAACTTCTGTAGAAACTGAATTAAATTGTCATTGAGCTAGGCGCTTTTGGTTATTCAGACGTGTTTTATTCTCAAAAGGATCTGCCAGTCTATCTCTTTATTTAACAACTTTTGACAGATATATGACCCAAAGCACGCTGTAAATGATTGCTGCGAAAAAATCTGCCAATTGACAGATTTGGAAAGTGTCACTTGACAGACCTGAGAAGTGTCAATTGACAAAATTATTCAATTTGATACTTTCCAAATTTGTTGTGAATACCGCAAAATAAATTTCTCTTTCATAAAGTTAAGTGAGTAAGAGGTGACGGATAGCGATTCTTTTTATGATGATGATATCAATGAGATTGATCGTGAACACAAACTACGATTAATAAAGATAAACGATGGTGCAATCAGCGGTTAGTTGTTATTCGATGAAAAATGGCTTTCTATCTCTCTCTACAGAGTTAACTACAGACAATACGAACATCGCTGTTTGTCTGCCACATAGATCTCATTAGTGGTATTATAGGTCACTTTGTACTAACGAGAACAACCCTGACTGAGAGTTAGCGATGTCTACTGACTTTGCGAAGACGCCATATATGTGAATGACAGAAAACTCAAACCAGTCGAAGGACTCTAACGGCAGTCAGTTGCAAAGCCAGCTTTGCCATGGACCGCCGAATCAGAAAGTGCTTTCAGTCTTTCTCTGCAGATTTCACTGTGAGGCAGGTTAGACACTGACGCAACGCAACTCACGTACGACCGACTCATACAATTAGATCGATGTTTTCACGTTGTTGTACAATCGATGCGACTATAATCGAGTTGAAATGGAGTCGTCAGAAGACGAGGATGTTATCATTTTTTTTTGTATTTTCGTAAAAGAAAAAAAAATACGTTTCTTGGTGCACCTGTACTTTGTAGAAGATGTTAAACGAAGAATGTTTGTAGCTGCAAGGGAACTGTATGACCCGGGTCAATTTATTTCTATGTATGTATAGGATGACTTCAACAACCTTCGTAGAACTAACATGACCTGAATACTCCTGCTATACATCGTTGAAATAAAGAAAATAATGACAATACCAATACATACAAAAACCAGTGCAACTGATCGCGGTGCGTCGGATGTCCAGTCGAATACAACTAGTCGAAATCCTTATTGGTCAGACCAGACTGATGCAACTAATTTCAGTCGGCCGTGTCAGTTGCTTTGCATTAGTGTGTGAGCTGCCTTATGGGTCAGACTAATGCAACTGGTTGCTTGAGTCGTTCGTGTCAGTTGCGTTGCATCAGTGTGTGAGCTGCCTAAGTAGAGCGCAAAAGCGTTTTATCCATTATTCAATACCAAAATTATAACACTTTGACATTCATTGAACTGACTGTGTGCATTTCAGTTTACAATTTTCACTGAGAGTTTTAGCCGCCAGTTAAAACTGTACCAGCCTAAGTAGGCGTCCACAACTACCTATTTATTACTGCTCATAGCTAAAATGCGACCAATTAGCAGTATTTTTCATTCACGACGAGCATAAGTAGTTCGATCAAGGTCATCAAAGATTGTGACGAATATTATTAGTAAGGACCTATCTTTCTACGATATTTGCAATTCTCAAAGTTAAAAAATATTTACAGATTGAATAACAAACAATTTTACGATATCAAATATGCTGCAGCTGAACTGGTCCAAAGTTAATTAAGATTTCAATTATTTTCGGACCGGTCGTAAAGAGAACAGTGGTCCAAGAAAGCGAGCTACCATTTTCTTTTACTAGGTACTATGATCGGTTATACATCCCCAACCATGGGCGTCAATTCAATTATTCGACTGGGGTATTGCATGGATTCTAAGCCAGGTAATGAGCGTTTTCGTTATTCACAGAATGATTACTTATATTTTCTATTCACTCGGGAGGAATATCTAAACCATTTGTAAGGGATTAAGGGATTAAGTTGTTTTTATCAAACCTTAAAGTAAAAATCAAGCAAACGTTATAAAAAGCCGAATTTTATTTGAGTTTCAATAATAATGATTAATTTTTTCATCAAATGAAGGCTTCTCCTGTGTTGAATTCGTAAATTACTTTGTAAATGTCTACACCAATACTTCTTTCTATAGCCAAAAGAGCTAATGGGGAACCATCAGGCCTATTGTCTGCCTGTTAAATCGCCGAATGCTCAAGAAAAATATTTCACAGGGTGACGAGTTCATAGTAATCGTATGGTTTTAAGAGTACCTATAGCAAACATATTCTTCAGAGGCTTGTCGTAACAGCAAGTCCTTCATGGATATTTTTGGTTTTCCCCTTTTATAAAAACATTTCAGTTCGGTTTAGGAGACATTCATCTGAAGGTGCAATTAATTTTTTACCGGTAATGAGTCAGCACAATGATTTTCTATACACGATGTTGCATGTAGGTTTCGCAATCGTCAGAAATATGAATTTCTAATCACATTATCAGAAAGATAGCATTTGGTGGAAAGGTATCCCTTTAAAAAAATCTGTTTTTTCGTTAACCAGCTATCGCACCCCTACGAATAATAACCCTCAGAAGTCGAAACTTGTGGAAGCTAAGGACTAACGAGGCCTTACCTTTTAACGTGTGATTTCTAACACAGGTTGGACGATAGCAAGTGAAAATCGATAGTTCAGCTTGGGGCTTGAACCACCGACCAACACGGCGGTCGATTTGAGTGAGTGAACAAAGCACCCATGTTAAACGGCCCGGCTACCAAAAGCTGAACAATTTTTTTCTCAGACATTTTATAAAATATGAAATTGACACGTTCAGGATAGCAAGTGACAACTGATTATTTGATTATTTTTGAACAAATATTATCTGCAATGTCTAATTTCAATTGAATCTATTGATGAAAAGTCCTGTATTTAGTTATCGATTTGAAAATGTCACAATAAAGTGTTAAAATCACAACAGTTTATCAGTTTTGTCATTTTTTATGCCGGGTACGACAGAATGTTACAAAAAAACTGATAAAAATGATTTTCACCAGCTTTTGGAACTTAGGGACCACTGTGCAATGTTAAAATATTTCACCTCATCTAAGGTATCAACTGTGGAAGATTCATAACAGAGACTAAATTTACATAATCTCCCTCATTCCATTTATTAAGTACTTACCAATAAAACTTTAGAACACTTTCTGACTTTTTCTTTCAGCCGACATTACTTTTCTACATAACTATTTCATTTATTTTCAGTCATATGTTTCTCCGATCGATGATCTAATGAGAAATGAAAAATCGGTAGTCTCACTGAAATTTATTAATGCGAATAATTGATATATAACGCATACCTACATACATTGAATATCCAATTTACCTATTCCATATAATTAGAAGTAACAATTTAACCTCTGCCTCTTACTACACACTATAACAATTTTGAAATAACGTAGTTAACTTTATTGAAGAGAAATATCAGAGCCTACCCAATTGTGATATATTTTTTAACCTTCTGAAGGGATTCCTGTAGTGGCATATATTCCAGAGAATTTCCAACTGACTTCAGTTTATCTAGTGGATAGAAAATGAAGATATGAAAACCAAGTTTTAATGGACCAAATTCCAAAACAATTTGATTAACTTTGATTTTTTTTCAATTTCGGGTTGGTCAGCAGCCTGACAGCCCCTATCTGGATGCGCCACTGGTAGGACAATGATCAAGTGGGTTAATTGAAATTATTGACGTCAGGAGAGACAGTGACGTGGATACTCGCACACGACTGTGAATCCAGCTGAAACTTTTTACAACTTATACAGGTGGCCAAACGAAAACGAAACAGACGTTCTTAAAAACTTCAACATTTCAGAAAATCGCAGAGACCATCGTTCTCCTCAGTCACAAATCGACGCAAAAATATGGACGCAGTTCTTGATAACGTTTCTGGTTCGTTTTCTTCTGATCAAACTGAATCTTCTGAATAAACAAGCCTTGGAGTCACGTATGGTTTTGCTAACTTCTCAGTTTGGGTAGGCTCTTGCTGGTCAAGAAAAACAGTGCATTTAGTTTGTTGTCCAGTGTTAGGCCAAGTTTGGATATTATAGAAGAAAATTGGAATAATGGAAAAATATACTTTACAAACTACATAACGTCAATACAGTATTGTCAATATGTAGCCGTACAACTATTTTATAGTTCATGTATTTCGATTTTTCTACAGACAAATTGATTCTTATCACCTTATCAGAGGATTGAACACCAATATCTCCAATCGATGACATACACAGTAACAACTTCTGCAATCACTATTTGCTCCTCAACACGATTGAAAACTCGCATCAATGTTCCAGAATTCTTGAATTTTCTATTAGTTTTGTTTAAAACAAAATTACAAATTTCATTTCAACAATAGTTTTTATTTGATATGCATGTATATTCACTTACTATATCTTATATGCGTGAAAACTAACAAAAGCGAAATAATATTATTGATGTTGGTTATATGAAGTGGCAAATAGTGATTGCATTCACAATTATAATCACACGAGAAATCAAATTAAATGTAAAATGGCTGTATTCGAATTCGGTAAAGTGGTAGCGAAATAACCATTGTTGAAATTATAGATATTACTTTCATTGTCACCAGGTTTTTTGAAAACTGGCTCAATTATCTTGAACTCATTAGAATCTCTAGAATCCAACAAAAATATTGCTACATTGA